AAATAAATGTGAAATTTCATGTTTACAAATTGGAAGACTAAATAATATTAAGATGGCAATACTGCCTGAACTGAGATTCAATATAGATCAATTTGGAGAGAACTACTATCTTAATCTCTATAGACATCTCAGAAGGCCTACTTTTTTTTTAACAAAAATTGACAAGCTGACCCTAAAACTTACATGGAAATTCAAAGGACCCCAAATAGCCAAAATCATTTTGAAAGTTGGAAGATTTATACTTCCCACTATCAAAACTTCTGGCAAAGCTACAATACTTGTGATTGTGTGGTACTGGCATAAGGAGTAACATATAGGTCAATGGAACAGAATTAAGAGTCCAGAAAAAACCCTTATGTTTATAGCCAATTGATTTTTCAACAAAAGTGCCAAGACAATTCAGAGAAGATAAAGAATAGTTTTTTTAAACAGATGGTGCTGGGACAACTGGATATCCACATTTAAAAAGATGAATGTAGACCCTACCACCCTACAAAAACGTTAACTCAGAATGCATTGTAGATCTAATGTAAAACTTAAAACTGTAACACTTTTAGAATAAAATATAAAGGAAAACTTTGTGACTTGGATTGGGCAAATATAGATATAATGCAAAAAGCATGATTCATAAAACTAGTGAACAGTACTTTATCAAGATTTATGACTTACTTGCTTCAAAAGACACTATTAAGAAAATGAAAAGACAAGTCACAGACTGGGAGAAAATACATGCAAGTCTTATATCTGATAAAGGACTTATATCAAATATAGAATTTCTATAACCTAACAAGAGAAATAACCCAACTGTAAAATTAGCAAAAGATTTAAATAGACATTTTACTGAAGAATAGATGTGGATGGTCAGTAAAAACACAAAATGATGCTCAACATCATTAGCCACTAGAGAAATGACAAAATCAGGATGAAATAACTTTTATACATACTGAATATTTCTTTTCAAAGTTAAACATAAATATACCATGTAACTGAGAAATTCTACTCCTAAAAAAGGATTCAATAGATATGAAAACGTATGTCCCCACGGAGACTTGTGTATTCTTTATTCATAATAGCCCTAAACTGGAAGCAATTCAGATGTCCATCAACTGGTGAAATGGATAAATGAAACGTGGTTTATTCATACAACAGAATACTACTGAGCAATAAAAAAAACAGAATACCGATATATGCTACAATACAAATCTTGAGAACATTATGCTAAGATAAAAAACCCACATAAGAATTTATTTATGTAAAATGTCCAGGTAAATCTGTAAAGACAGAAAGTAGTTTAGCAGCTGCCTGGGGTTGGGCATAGGAATGGAATGACTAAAGACAGGCATTAGGGATTTTTTTGGAGTGAAGGAAATGTTCTAAAGTTGGGTTGTGGCAATGGCTACACAGCGCTGTAAACTTAGTAAAAATTATTGAAATATACCCTTTTAAATGGGTGAATTTTATGATGTGTAATTATTTTTAAGAAACTGTTAATGATTTAACTTATGTATGGTGGCTGTTACACGGTCCTCAAAAAATGATAGTATTCTGTGAGGATGTGCTTTGTCTTCTGAGTTCAGACCTAATGCCTCAGAGGGCAAGGATGGCAAATGCTAACAGCTAGCATGTACTGAGTACTTATTGTGCCAAGCTGTGTGCTATCCACATTATGTACATTATATCCTGTAATCCTCACAAGAATCCTCTGACATAGGTAGTGTTGTTAAGCCTGTTCTACAGATAAAGAAATGGAAGCTACGTTGAAGTCACAGGGCCAAGGCATGAAGAACCTTGTCTCCAACAGGTCTAACTTGTCCTGTTGTATGGAGCACCTTTAAGACCTAAAAATTCCTAGTCTGTTGGAGTGAGCGAGGTAGCTCTGAGGATCTCCTTAGTTCTATGCTTGGCCCTGCTGTAGGCTTCCCTGTTTGAAACCCTGCTTTTGATGTGCAGGTTATAACCAGTATCCATGAAATGATTTCCGCAGGAAAATGTATTCTGTGCCAAGGTAGTAACTGAGCAAATCTGCCTCTCCTTCAGTCCCCCTCCACAACATCTAGGACAGCTGTTCCATGGCCATCTTTTTGGCCTATGGAGAACAGAATGGTAAGAGAAGGGAGTGGAGAGGGCAGCCTGGCCTCACTACCTCCTTCCAACATTCAATCAGTACTGCTTGCCTTTTATCTTGATGACAGTATATCGATGTTAGACTTCACCGCATGATTCCTTTTGAACGCTGAATCCTGTTGTTAAGCAAAACATTGAAAACCACCATTCTAAGAAAGTTAACATCAAGTGGAATCCTGAATTCATAATTTAAAAGAAGCCTGCATGTGGACTTGAAGTATTAATAGTCCATAGGGGCAAATTCACCGTTAGTTCTAGACAGAGTCCAAATTCATGCTGTCTTGACTCTGCTAAGTTCTGAGACCTATTGTAGCCTAGATCTTTATTTCAACAAAGAACTTTCAATTGTATCTTTACCCTGAAAGAATGAATGTTATTTTGACATAGGGAATTATAAAGGTATGTATATTTAACCTTTTTCATTGTTTGTATTAGGGATATGAAGGTTTTCAAATTTGTTTATGGAACGCCCTTTTCCTAAACATACTTCTTCCTATCTTCTAAAGATAATGCTGAAAAATGTTTTCCTCATGTCTAGGCTAGCAATTACTAAAACATTTGAAAGTATCATAACTTTCCACATGGAGTTTTTGTGAGTACACTAATGGCTTTGGATCTTCTGATGTTTTGTCGTCAAACCTGGCTTTTGTAGATGCAGCTTTGTTCACCATCTGCTTGCTTACAAGAAGTGATACTGGGAAGTAATAAGAGCTAGAGCCAGGAATCAGAAGGCCAGGAGTTTCCTTTCTGACTCTCTCGCTTACCATGATTCTGAGTAAGTTTCTTAACAACTCTGATTCCCAGGGACAAGGATATTAGGCTTGCTGATCTCACAGGCTCATTTTGAGTTTAAATGAATAATACTATGGGAAGGTGTTGTGGACAGAATGTGCCTACCCAAAATTTATAGAGTCATGCACGGTATAATAATATTTCAATGGACCTAATATATGATGGTGTTCCCATAATATTAAAATTCCATATTTCACTCGTTTTCTATATTTAGATACACAAATACTTATCAGTGCATTACAACTACCTACAGCATTCAGTACAGTAACATGCCATACAGGTTTGTAGCCTAGGAGCAATAGGCTATGCCATATAGCCTAGGTGTGCAGTAGTTGTGCCATCTAGGTTTGCATAAGTGCGCTCTATGATATTTGCACAACGATGTAATTGCCTATCAATACATTTCTCAGAATATATCCCTGTCGCTAAGTGATGCATGACTGTTTTGACCTTCAATGTGATGCTATTAGGAAATTGGGGCCTTAGGAGATAATTATGTCATGAAGGTAGAACCTTCATGAATGGGATTACTGCCTTATAAAGAAGAAACAAGAGAGATACTTCCTCTCTGCCATGTGAAGATACAGCAAGGCGGTGGCTGTCCACAAGCCCGGAAGTGGGCCCTTGTCAGACACCAGATTAGCTGGCACCTTGATCTTGGGACTTCTCAACCTTCTGAACTGTGAGAGATAAATGTTTGTTGTTTAAGTCACCCAGTCTACGGTATTTTTGTTGTGACAGGCTGAACTAAGACAAACATCAAGAGCTATAAAATACATCTTTTCTTTTCCTCAAACATCAAGAGCTATACAAATACATGTGGTCATGTTACCTGAAGTCTACAATGCTCTGCATTTTCATATGAAAATCACACCTGTTCTCTAATGACACTTTGGTTGTCTTTCAGTATGTTGAGATTGTGTCTTTAAACGGAAACAGGAAACCATAAAAGTATAGTAGGACTTACCTTTTTTCATAATTTCTCTTCATATATATATATAGATACACATATATATATATACACACAGACACACACACATAAAACTTTTTAAGAAAGTATATTATATTCTCGTATATTTGTAAATTCTGTTTTTATTGTTCATAGCCATGCTACTACTGTTCTATACAGATTTGGCATTTATGCTTCAAGTCCCTTGAATTTTATATTCTTTTTTTGTATTTAAAATAGAGATGATTACAAAGGACAGTGTAGCAACAGTAATGCTTTATATTTCCTTTATCTTGTTCATGTCTGTGAAGTAATTAGTACTAACAAAAAAGCATATATTTTAAATTTGTAAATTGTACATCCCATCAACCTTCAACGTATTGAAACAGAAAGACATTATAAAGGTGAATGTAAAAATAGTAAAGCTATGTCTTTTTTTTTTTAAATACATTTTAGAGTGTTTACGTAACTGAAAATAAATATTTTTATTAGAAAATCCTTGAGTTTTCAAACCGAGTACAACTGAGCTGCCTTTGAGTCGTTTGTATCTGGAATATAGCATGCACTTCCCTTTCCCTTATTTTGTATAGTTGCCGAGGAAATGGGTTTTCAGTATACATGATTCAAGTGGGGAAAAAAAGTGCATATTTAATTCCAAAATAGTCCTTAGACTGGAAAAAAAATCTCTTTTGGAATAGTCATGTTTATTTTATAGTAACTCTACAGCAGAACAATTTAGTATGTTAATGCAGAAATGCAAACAGCTTTATTGAACAAAATACTTACTATTTTCTAGCTGCCTTACAGAAATTATTTACTCAAGGAAACAGAATAGAATTTCTCAGTTTCATTAATCAGCTTTGTAAATATTTTGCCAGAGCTTTTTTTCTTGGGGTAGGGGAAGCAAATAAAAAAGTTTAAAAGCTCATATGTGTCTATTTTGTTTTAGCTTGGAGTATTTATTAAGAGTAAATTCTGTGTGTCTTTGCAGTTCATCAATATGTGTATTTAGAAGTTTTTCAAGTTCTTTTGCTCGTTTCTCTTCTTCTAGAAGGAAATGCTGTGCAGCTAAAGATGCTGGGAAGGACATATCTGGGGGAGACTAAAGAGAGAAAGAAAGGAAAGTGAATGAGGAATACAGAACTTTATTGTCTCAGGCATGCTTCATCCCTGACATACTGTCAAACACTGTAGCTCTTAACGAAAGAACACATCTTGGGCCGAATTCCCACCACTAGTGTAATGCAGTCACCACAAATGAAATCCTCAAGGAACTAAGGAAGACATCACAGCACCATTACATTCAAAAGCTCTAGAAATGAGTGTTAAATTGTTCAACCACAAATGCAGGGACAATGCACTCACCATGGAACCTGCCTAAAACATGCTGCAATCATTTGCAAAGCCAATGATTTTCATTTGAAAATAGGCAACTCCAAAAAGCTAAAGTAAAGATTATAGTGGAATTGCACAAAGAAGGTTCATATAGAAAAAATAAAATAAGGATTGGTTTTGACAGGGCAAATCACTGCTTGGCATTAGCCAGGTAAGAGGGCTGGCTGCATAATGTGTCTCAGGGGTGGAGGTGCCTCCCTAATAGGGAGGGCTGTGATGCTGGCAGGTATCTTGTTTGTCCTATCATAGTGGAGAAAGTATCAGTGATGACTGCCCCAATTCCACCTTCATGGTGACATGAAAATGCTGTTTAACTGTTGGTGATCTGTTTAGTGCTTATTTACAACAAATAAAAATCTGTGGCTAAGGAATAAAGGGCATCAGATGATTTTACAATTCTTCATTTTAAAAAGCCACATACAAAAATTAAGTACTTTTTCTTCACTGGGGAAATTTGTACTTTAATTTTACAGTTCTGTGGTTACTATATTCTTTGATTTTCATTTTCGTAGGAAGAATGGAAGTTTAGGGAGTCAACAATCTGTATAAATGTGAACCTTGTTATAGGTGGACTTTGTTCACCAATCTGGACCAGGCCAAAACTAGGGATCATGCAAATGATGGAGTACTGAACACTTTCCAACTAGTAGCCAAACTAGCTTTTGTGTCAGGGACAGTATTTCGACTAGAGAAGACTATCACAGCCTGGGGTAGGTGGTATGCTACTATTGATCTGGCAAATGCATTCTTTTTACTATGTAATAAAAGGGAGGATAGGAAGCAGTTAGCATTCATATGGGGTGGCCAACAATATACATCCATGGTTTTGCCCCAATGTTATGTTCATGAAGCTGTCACAATAAATCCTGAAGGGGCCTTGCGCATCTGGACATTGCAAAGACTATCACATGGAACATCATATATTAACACATCATGTTAATGAGACTTGATGAGCAAGAAGTAGCAAGTATGTTAAAGGCATGGAAAGATGCATGTACTCCAGAGAGTGAAAGATAAACCCTATAAAAGATTGGGGCTTGACACGTTGTTTTTAGGTGTCCACTGCTATGGGGCATTCAGAACATCCTAGTAAAGCAAAAATTTATGCACTTTGAAAATGTTCCACCCCTGAATCAAATAATTGAATAATCTGATTCATTTATTTGGTGACACAGAAAAAAACTTTTTTGAGCAAGCCCAGAACTCTGGAAAGAAAGAGCTGTGTAGTAGGTTCAGGATAGGGTTCAAGCAGTCCTGCTACTTTGGTCAAATGACTTGGCAGATCCCATACTAGAAGAATCTCTGGTAGAGAGGAATGCCTTGCGGAGCCTCCGGCAAGTTTCAGTGGGAAAGTTGTGTTGCAGACCCTTAAGATTCTGGCACAAGGCTATGCCATCTGTAGCAGAAACCTGCATACTATTTGCAAGACAATTCCTATCATGCTCTTGAGTCTTGGTTGAGACAGAGCATCTAGCAAGTGGACAGGATGATTTGATACAGCCTCTGTCTTTGGCTACCCCAGTAGGAATTATGCATTGGCTCAATACCATGGTTTCCCCTTTAATCAAAGGTAATCCAGCTATTGTTGCTGTTAAATGTCTGACCTGCTTACAATAGAAACCAAAGCTGAGCTCTTGATATGGCATCATCCCTCAAGGAGATCAACCAGCCTCTTGGTGGCAGTCTGACTGCATTAGGTCCCTTGTACCTTGGAAAGGGCAATGCTGTATCCTTATCAGAATGGATATGCATTCTACGTGTTTGCCTTTCCTGTCTGCACTACTATCTTAGGGCTCACAGAATCACTGATCTGCAGACATGAGATCCTGCTTAATAGTAAAGGTACCTACTTTATAGCAGAAGAGTATGGCAGTGGGGGCATGACCATGGTATCCACTGGTCCTAACCACACACAGCACTATCCAGAGGATGCTAGCATGATAGAGCTCTTGATGGCACAGCGAAGGCACCAGCTTGGAGATTATATCCTGTGAGGTTGGGGTGCCTTTCTTCAGGATGTGGTATACACTTTAAACCAGTGGCTGTTTTATGGTGCTGTGTTTCCAATGGGTAGAATACATGGATCTGGGAACAAAAGGGAGGAAGTAGGAATGGCTCCACTCTCTACCACTTCTGTTAACCCACTTGGAGAACTTGTGCTTTCTGTTTATGTAACTTTAGGTTCTGTTGGTCTATAGGTCCTGGTTCTTAGAGGTGGAATTCTACCAAGAGACCTGAAAGAGACCCACTAAACGTAGAGCTTTGGCTCCATGTGGTCACTTTGGGCACCTCATGCCAACAGATCAGACACAAAGAATGGAGTTCCTATAATGGCAGAGGTAGCTGACCCTAAGTCATCCTGAAGAGGTAAGAACGTTACTGCATAAGCAGAGGCAGTGAGGAATGTGTTTGGTACTCAGATGATCCTCTGAGGCATCTTTTGGTACTTTCATCCCCAGTTTTAATTTTAATTGGCAAATACAGAAACCATATCCTAATAAGGGCATGGAAATTAGGGGCTCACCCCAAAAGAAATGCCACCTGGATCAACAGAAGAGTTGGCTGATGGGGAGAGGAATCTAGAATGGGTGAGGCAATGATAGGTGTCAGGGACCAACTGCAGTATTAGGGGCTGTGGCTTATCTCACCAACTTTCCTCTAATCAGTTTTCCCAGAAATTATTGTCCACAATAATTGTGAAAAGCTATACCTGGATGGAAGCTATGGAAGAAGATAGTTCTGAGTGGTGCAAGAGGTGGACCACGGTCGTTGGTCCCCTACCGGGATCCCCTTCCCTAGGCTGATGCATCTCTCCTCCAGCTAGGTGGGGGTTAGCTACTAACAGCTCACAGCTGACTCCTTTGGAGAACTGCCCTCCACTTAACTGGAGGCTCCTGCCTCACCTGGGAAGCTGCAGTCCTTCCTCTGCCCATTTGCTACCCTCTCTGAGGCAATGACTTATTGATGGACACAGGGACATAAAATACCAGACTTCTTGTTTGGTTGGAACCAATGCTGTGGTGTAATTCATATGGCAAGCTCCCTGGGACACCAGACTATACTAGTTTGTAGCTGAGACAACACCTTTGCTTAGTTTTCCTCCCTCCCCTCTCCTGCCTCCTCCTCTCTCCTCCTGAACATACTAAAATACTCCCTCAGTAACTTGCTTCCACAAGAATCTCATCTTAGGCTCTAGGAAACCTGATCTCAGACAGATGACTTCCTAGATTCTGGCCTGAGTGATTAGTGACACTCATGCCATTTACTGAGAAGGAGAAAAAGGTAAAATAAGCCATTAAAAGTTCTTTTTTCCTTAAAAAAAATTTTTTTTTGAGACAGTGTCTTGCTCTCTTGCCCAGGCTGGAGTGCAGTGGTGCAACCACAGCTAATCTCTAACTCCTGGGCTCGAGTGATCCTCCTATGTCAGCCTCCTGAGTAGGTGGGACTATAGGCACACACCACTACACCTGGCTATTTTTTTAAAAAGCTTTTTTAGAAACAGAGCCTCACTAGTTGCCCAGGCTGGCCTTGAACTCTTGGGTTCAAGGGATCCTCCTGCCTTGGCCTCTCAAAGTGCTGAGATGTGAGTCACAGCTGCTGGCCTCTTATTTATTTCTGATTCATCAGATTCTAGCACAGATTCTGGGCCATTGTGTTTTCAATAACAATTTTTAGTTTATGAATGAAGAAAAGGCATTCCATTTTGAATAATACTGAGTTTGAGGTGACTTGAGACTTAAACAGACTTTTCAGTAAACTGTGAGATAATCTAGGACTCAGAAGACAGGTCTGAATCAGAGAGAGAGATTTGGAAGTTATAGATGACAAGGCCATGAGCTTAACTGAAATTATCCAAGAGAGGCAAGTAAAATAAAAAGAAGTTAAAAGATGGAGCCCTGGGGAATCCTTCATCTCAGGCATCCACCCACTAGCATGTCCTTGACACTATCATCAACGAGAACTGCATTATTTACTAATTGAGATTTAAAGCAAACTATCCATCATCCTTACAGCTTGCTTAATCTAGTACGCCCACACCAGCATTTCTCTGACCCCACTCAGACTCTTTCCTTTTCACTGTCCATCATCTTCCTCATGCTCTCTCTTCCCTTCTAACTCTTTTTATTCCACATCCATCTTTATAACCATTCAACAACTTGTCGCTCCCTGTATCTTGTCTCTATCCTCATTATCTGCCAAAACTCTGTATCTTATCTCTGTCCTAATTACCTGATAAAACCCACCCCTAATTAAGCTGACCCATTTGCCTGGGTCATGTCTACACCCGAATAGCTAAATGCTGGAGCCAACAGGTTGGGGTAAGTTACTGCATGGACTAGTTTCACTTTAAATTTCATGACCATAAATACCAAGTGGTCAGTGAATACTGCTAGGCGATTCTATTCTACTTCCCTAGTATGTTCACTTTCTTACACAGTACCTTGTGACCTGGCCTCCTAGGGGCCAGAGGGGAGCTCCCTCATTATTCCACATCCATTTTTATCTAAAACTGAATTTTAGGCCATCCTCCTGTTCCAGAAACTCATCCTTCCTCCTGTACTGTGGATCCTATCTCTTCTTACCTCTCAGTGACTTTGTTTCTGCAAACGGACATGGACCCTCCTTATGCCCCATCCTCTTCATTATCAGACTTTCCTCCTTTCCTCGAGGATTCCCATTAGGGCACTAAATATTATGACCCAAGGCTTTGTAATGGGATAATTTCTTTTTTATACTTAAGTATTTTCATTCAGTTCTATAGACTTAAATAACAACCATATGCAGATTTTCCCCATATTTATATTTCCAGCTTTGATCTCTTCCTTTAATATTAGATTCACATGTCCTATTGCCTATTTAATGTCTACATGTGGGTGTCCAGTAAACATTTTAAACTTATATGTCCAACCTAGAAATCATGATTTCTCCTCTAACCCTATTTCTTCCTTAGTCTTCCCATGTCAGAAAGTGGTATTAGCATCTACTCAGTGCTCAGGTTGAAATCCTAGGAGTCATGTTTGATCACTCTTTCTCCCACTTCCCATATACAATTCATTGCCAAGTCTTGTCTACTCACCAGAATATTTTCTGGATCTAATATGTTGCTGTACCTCCATTGCCACCAAGCCAGCATCATCTCTTGTCTAGACTACTGAAATAGCCTTAGAATAGTTGTCTCCACTTCTACCCTTGCCCCTCTATAATTTATTCTTTATTTAGTAGTTAAAGTGATCTTTTGAAAGATTTAAACATATTTGTTTATTATTAAACAGAGTAATTTTAAATGGAGTAAACAGATCAGTATTTTCCTAATTAAAACTTAACAGTGGCTTCCCATTATTTTAAAATAAAATCCAAACTCCTTCCTGTGACCTACTGTCCTCATATACTGGACTTCCCTGATGACTTCTCTGTTCCCTTTTGTTCCAGTCTCTGTCTTCCCTTCTAAGCTCCAGAAGGCCCCAAACCTTGCTGGTTCTCATACCTGCCAAACTCATTCCTGCCTTATAGTTCCCTTACTTGAAACTCTCTTCCACCAGATCTTTGCAAGGCTGGATTTGTTGTCGTTAAGGTTAAACCTTAAATTTCCCTTTCTCAATGATAATTTTCTTGGCTACTCAACCTAAAATAATCCCCATACATACATCACTCCCTATCACATTACCTGCTTTTCTTTTTATCTCAGCATTTATTACTATTTTCGTTTTTTTTTTTGAGACAGTGTTTTGCTCTGTTGCCCAGGCTGGAATGTTATGACGCTATCTTGGCTCACTGTAACCTCTACTTCCAGGGTTCAAGCAATTCTCTTGCCTCAGCTTCCTGAGTAGGTGCGATTACAGGCATGCGCCACCATGCCCAGCCAATTTTTGTATTTTTAGTAGAGATGGTGCTTCACCATGTTGGCCAGGCTGGTCTCAAACTCCTGACCTCAGGTGATTTGCCCGCCTCGGCTTCCCAAAGTGCTGGGATTATAGGTGTGAACCACCGTGCCTGGCCTTAATATTTTCTTATTTGTTCATTTATTTCCAATCATTAATGTTTCTCTTCGTTTGTTTTTGAGATAAAATTGATGTAAAAGAAAATTAACCATTTTAAAATGAACAGTTCAATGGTGTTTAGCGCGTTTACAATGTTTTGCAACCACCATCTCTAGTTCCAAAATAGTTTCATTATCCATAATGAAACACTGCACCCCTTAAGCCACTTTTCCTTGTTTCTTCCTCCCCACTACCCCTGGTAACCACCAATCTGCATTGTTTCTATGGATTTCATTTACCTATTCTGGCTATTTCATATAAATAGAATCATATAATACATGGCCTTTTGTGTCTGGCTTCTTTCACTTAGCATGTTTTTGAGGTTCATCTACACTGTTGTATTTTTTTTTTTTTTGGCCTTTTTTTGGGCACAGTTGCTTTCACTTTTTTCTTTTTTTTTTTTTTTTTTGAGAGGAAGTTTTGCTCTTGTTACCCAGGCTGGAGTGCAGTGGCACAATTTCGGCTCACCGCAACCTCTGCCTCATGGGTTCAAGCAATTCTCCTGCCTCAGCCTCCCGAGTAGCTGGGACTATAGGCGCGCACCACCATGCCCAGCTAATTTTTGTATTTTTAGTAGAGATGGAGTTTCACCATGTTGACCAAGATGGTCTTGATCTCTTGACCTCGTGATCCACCCACCTTAGCCTCCCAAAGTGCTGGGATTACAGGCGTGAGCCGCCGTGCCCGACCCCACAGTTGCTTTTTATGGCTGAAAAATATTCCATTGTATGTATCTATCACAATCTGATTATCCATTCATCCATTGACAAAGTTCCTCTTTTTTTTCACCATATGATATATATGTCTCTCTTATTTGAAGACATGTTTAGAACAGGAGTTGCCATACAGTTGGTGTTCAATACATGTTTATTTTATGAATGAAGAACACTAATATTTAAAGGACAGAAATAGGAGGGAGAACCCTGGAAACAGACTGGGAAATAGTAGCCAGAGGGTGGCAGAAGAATCAGGGGAGTATAGTGTCATAGAAGCCAGAGAACATAAGAGTTTCAAGACAAAAATATTCAGAAAGATGAATACTTCAAAATGTGCATTTAATTAGCAACTAGAAGATCAGTAGTGGTTTTGACAGGAACCACTGTCAAAATGTAGTCATGGATGGAAATCACTAGACCTAGAACAGTGGATTACCATAGAATTTTTAAGGCCTCCATCACAGATTAAGTTCCCCATGCCCAGTTCCAGAAGAGTTGAGAATTTTCTTTCCTAATTAAAACTTAACAATGGCTTCCCATTGTTTTAAAATAAAATCCAAACTCCTTCCTGTGACCTCCTGAGGATGTTAGGAATTCCTCAAAAGAGTAATGCAGAATTTTAGAGGTAGAAGGAAGCCCCATGTTATTAAATTAAATCAACAGATACTTCTCCGTGTCTTTTTATGTGCCTACTAGTGCTGACACTATTTTAGGTGTTGGGTTAGCATGAAAACAAACCCTGCTTTCATGGAGCATACATTCTAAAGGAGGGAGGCCAACAACAAAACGTCTCATAGTGAAGTGCCATGAAAAAAGGCAAGATGAGGGGCAGGGAGTGAAGAGGAGGGTGCAATTGCAGACTGGTTGCTTAGGCATCTCTGAAAAGGTGATATTTGAGCTGACACTAATTGTGATCCTAAAAATCCTAAAACCATGTGATATTAGCACAATTGAGTTTTTTGCAACTTTTTCTATTGCTTGACTGAAATGTGTGCTTACTTAAACTCCTTAATGATCAAAGTTTTATTGATGCAGAATTTGCAAAGTCCCCTTAGAATTTCTCATAACTTAAATGAGGAATTTTATCTCATTTACATTATTGGTATGGATTTTAGACTGTTCAAATAACGTTGGCATTTTATGTTGAGATGATCACAAAAGAGCATTTAGAGGGCTTTAGAGAGCTCTAAAACTTTAAAAGTTAATATTTTTAAGCATTCTTCCACCTAAATAGCTTAACTTTTACTTCCAGTTTCTATTATTACAAGGCTAAACCAACATATAAGCAACAAAGGGCTTATATCAAGAATAGAAAGAATACCCATAAATCAATAACAATAAAGATAATCCAACAGAAAATTAAGTGAGGAAATTGAACAGATATTTTACAAAGGATATCAAAATGGCCTATAAACATATGAATAGTGCTTAAGCTCATTATTCACCAGAGAAACATGAATTAAAACCACGTAATAGGACCTTAGTACATACTGACCATAATGGGTAAATTTGAAAGGACTTATAATACCATGTGTTAGACTGTAGAGCAAGGACAACTCTTATACACTACTTGTTGGAGTATTCATTGGCTTATCCAGGAAAACAGTTTGGCAGTACCTACTAAAGCTGACCATATTCATATCCTATGACCTAGGTATTCCATTTTAGGTATATATATATACATATATACTAGGTATTCCATTTTAGGTTTAAAACCTCTTTTCTATGGACTTTGCCAAATGTGCAGGCACATATACAAATCATAAATGGTCAGCTTGATGAATTATCACAAAGGGAATGTAACTACCACCCTAGTAACGAACAGAACATCCTCAGCACTCCAGATGCCCCACTCATGTTCCCTTCCAGTCTCTACTTCTGCTTGCTCCCAACATAACCGCTATCCTGACTTTTAGTATTATCAATTCATTTTGCCAACTTGCAAATTTTATATAAATGATATATGTTATTTTGTTTCTGGCTTCTTTTTCTCAACATTGTTTTTTTAGATTCATCATCATCCATATTGTTTTATACAGCTATAGTTTTTTTGTAAATTTTTGTTTCTCTATAGTAATCGATTGGATTACTATGGAGAATATATATATTAATTGATATATATACCTAAAATGGAATACCTAGTATATATACCTAATATATATGTATATATGTACCTGAAATGGAATACCTAGTATATATACCTAATATATATGTATATATGTACCTAAAATGGAATACCTAGGTCATAGGATGTGTATACACATCCACCAAAACACTCATACAAGAATAGTTTTGGCAGCATTGTTTGTAATAGCCCCAAACTGGCAATGACTCAAATATCCATCAGTAGTAGAATGAATAAATCAGTTTTATTGTCATTGAATGTAGTATTTATATCCAATCAATTACTATAGAAAAACAAAAATTAAAAAAAACTATAGCTGTATAAAACAATATGGATGATGATGAATCTAAAAAAAAATGTTGAGAAAAAGAAGCCAGAAACAAAATAACATATATCATTTATATAAAATTTGCAAGTTGGCAAAATGAATTGATAATATTAAAAGTCAGGATAGTGGTTATGTTGGGAGCAAGCAAAAGTAGAGACTGGAAGGGAACATGAATGGGGCTTCTGGAGTGCTGAGGATGTTCTGTTCGTTACTAGGGTGGTAGTTACATTCCCTTTGTGATAACTCATCAAGCTGACCATTTATAATTTGTATATGTGCCTGCACATTTGGCAAAGTCAATAGAAAAGAGGTTTTAAACCAGTCCAAAAGATCACTGTAGCTCTTTACAATATACAGATCCTTGAGGACTCATGCAATATCCAAGGGTGAGTCCCAAGCATATGCATTTAAAAAAATCCCTACTAATTCTGGCCTGTATTAGAGGTTAATAACCATTGACTGAAATACTTTACAAAACATAATTGATATCTTTTCCTTCTATAGATAGGTATGGCCAAATGACTTGCAGACCCAACTTGGAGTCCTATTCAAGGAGTGAGATTAAAAACAAACAAACTACTATGTACGTCAGTGTACTGGCATCAGTTTAAGAGTAAAGCAATAACCCATGAAAGGAAAAAAAGGCTACAACCAGTAACTCACCAGTGGGAATACTTCATTGTCACTAATCAAAGGACTTGTCATTTCTTTGATTTGAAATGTCAAAGGTGGCAAGGGAGGCATTGTACTTGCATTTGGCTCACAATCTTGACTCAGTCTAAAAGAGAAGAAATGGTTGTTGTTGCTACCGAGGACACATGTTTATTTATGTAGCTAAGGATTTTAATTTCTCAGATGTCTGACTGGGGGAAAACACAACAAAATGTTTGGGCTTGTTACCTGGGCATTTCTTTGAATATGACTTTTCTGATAAATAATTTCTATTTCATTTAAAGAACTTAGAATGATTAAAAATGAAGAAGAAAACAATAATTGTTAAAAATATTTTGCAATCCTTATTGCCTATATTGCTTCCCTTTCTGTATTATACTTTTGTATGTCTTTGTCATTTATTTAAATAACATAAAGCAGTTTGAGAAAAATCTCCAGATCGCTAACACTGCTGTCCTAGACAGTTCTAAATAGATACTCTTTTTCTATTCTCTTTTACACTTAACCTCTCTGGCTTTCTTAACAGAATTGTACTATTTTTTTTATGTGAAACAAGTCTTTGAATAACTCGTATTTCTGTAGATTTTGATAATTTATAACGTGCTGTCAATTTACATCATTTCCTAAGCTCCTTCAGTTACTAGTTGTGTGACTTTGAGCAGGTAAATTTATCTCTCTGTGACTTTAATTTTCTCATTTAAAAAAGTGATGTTATGAGAGCTGAATGATGAATACATGTAAAACACTCAGAAAACAATGCCTGGCACATAGTAAATGTTTAGTAAAGATTAGGTATTTTTTTAAAAACTAATTCGATCTTCAAAATAACCCTAATATGGTAGATACTATCCACAGATGAGGAGCCTAAGGTTTAAAAATTCAATTACTCATCTAATTGTTTACTTTTTAAATCAGAATAACTTGGTAGGAAGTGATGTCTTTAGATTTTGGACACAAAACCAGATTTTCTTAACTTAAAAACCCTACTATTTCAATGAAAGTCATATAAGCATGGAATGTTTGTGCTAAAATGAGGCTGAAAAAAATAACATTGAGATTTTAAATTCTGGTTTGTTGACTAAGCAAATGGATAATAAAACAGGTAACAAACCAATTTATGCTACAGTTTTACAGAAAGGGTTCTAATGATATGGGCTGTTTGGGATTAAATAAATATCTTTCATGAAACTGGGATTTAGCTGTAATAAAATTATGAAAGACCATCAAAACTAAAATCCCATTAAAAAACAAAAAATAATAAACGAAATGATTTATTTTTACTAATGGTTCAAGTTCTCCACAGGTATTACTTTTACTGATGGTTCAAATTCTCCACAGGTATTGATTAACCATTTTCAAAGCCTTCATAGTTTAATTTAACAGAGTTAAAAATTTTTCACATTATTTTTCTCTGGTCTTATCCAAAGACTATCTAATTTATATAGACTTGTTTCATATTATGTAAACATTTTCAAAGCTATGCATACATATAGCAATAAAACTTAAGTGAGGCATCTGTAAATTAGTACACAAAAACAAACACAACATGTTTTCCATTTTTGCTTATCTTGAAATATATCTTTTTTTTTTACCCATTTTCCCAAACTATAATTACCATGGAAACAGAACAGCAAATTAAACTGAAATAACATGGTTTATGATGTGCACAATAAGATGAAACATGTCACAATTCAAGTAGAATTATAACATTTGCATAGTACATCTGCATATAATCTTTAGCTGAACCTTTTGAGTGAGGTTACTGTCTATACTTCAAAGCACAGTGAAAAAAAATAAGATAGTAGTGATTTAAGAAATATATATGTCTCTGTTATCTCTTTCACAGAGATTTCAGGCAAAGTATTTTTTGTGCTAAGTTAATCTAAATAATATCTTAACTATCCATTTTGCTTTGGATGTATGGATACAGTGTTATGGTGTTAATTACTAACATATAGGAACACTCTTTTTACTGAAAGATCAATAAAATGTAGAGATTGAAAGGGAAGATGACATTATGAAGTGCTTTTGTTTTAAATCATTTTTATATCTGACAAATTCTTCTTCAAGAATACAGCTAGTCAAATACTTCATAAAACCACCTTGCATAAAGTGCTATGCATATCAATTTAAAAGCTATCTTAAAAATGATTTCAAAGGGTTTTAATATCCTCTCACAAGCTGATCTGTTCAATTATCTTTTCCACAGGCCTATTCCAAGGCTGCTGCGTGGTTTTGCAAGGACAGGAGGCCTCAGTTGCTTTGCTGGGAAGCAGAACTCGGTCCACTTGAGACCTGAGTCAACTCTTCAAAATTTTCAGGATTGTTGGACATGTACATCCAGTCCTGTCCCTCATTAATATTCCCCTTGGCTGAAGAATAATGTCCTTAGCATAGAGCAAGATTCCTTCACAAACCATGCTAATTTACCTTTTTCTAGCCTCACCTTCCAGCACTCCAATAAACTCCCTATTCCATGAACTGCTCATTGTTTCCTGGTCTAGAACTGTGAACCTATGTTTTGCTCCTTTATTGAGCAAAACCATGGTACAAACATTCTCAACTTACTTTAGGCTTCCAGATGGCTATTCATTCCTTGCCAAGAGATCTTGTGAGTGGTTATTGCAAACCTGCTGACTGTGGTTTTTTAGTATTAGAAACTCTTAATTTATTAGCTAGACTTGAAGCTGTTTTAATGATTGTTTCTGACTGCTAAAATCTGTCTAGTACAGGATACAACTCTTAAAGCCATAAATTTATTTTTAAGTATGTGTGTTATATAGAGATAAAACTCCATTTCTTACAAAATTGATTTGTCATTAAAATTAGTTACATATTAATAGCTCTGGATACCACTACTTCAAATTAGCTTGTACATTATCCTGAAAATTCAAAACTTGAACTTTTAAAAACAATATTTAAAACATTCACACCAAATTCAATCACGTCTCGCTCATTATATATATATATATATATATATATATATATATATATTATTAAGTTTTAGGTTTTCGGGTACATGTGAAGAGCATGCAAGATTGTTGCATAGGTACATACATGGCAATGTGGTTTGCTGCCTTCCTCCCCATCACCTATATCTGGCATTTCTCCCCATGTCATCCTTGACCAACTCCCCACCCCCCACAGTCCCTCCCCTAGTTCTCCCCAACAGACCTCAGTGTGTGATGCCCCCCTCCTTCTGTCCATGTGTTCTCATTGTTCAGCACCCACCTATGAGTGAGAACATGCAGTGTTCCATTTTCTGTTCTTGTGTCACTTTGCTGAGAATGATGGTTTCCAGGTTCATCCATGTCCCTACAAAGGACACGAACTCATCCTTTTTTATGGCTACATAGTATTCCATGGTGTATATGTGCCACATTTTCCCTGTTCAGTCTATCATCAATGGACATTTGGGTTGGTTCCAAGTCTTTGCTATTGTAAACAGTGCTGCAATGAACATTCGTGTGCATGTGTCCTTATAATAGAACGATTTATAATCCTTTGGATGTATACCCAGTAATGGCATTGCTGGGTCACATGGAATTTCTATTTCTAGGTCCTTGAGGAAGCACCACACTGTCTTCCACAGTGGCTGAACTAATTTACACTCCTACCAACAGTGTAAAAGTGTTCCTATTTCTCCACATCCTCTCCAGCATCTGTTGTCTCCAGATATTTTAATGATCGCCATTCTAACTGGCATAAGATCGTATCTCAATGTAGTTTTGATTTGCATTTCTCTAATGACCAGTGATGATGAGCATTTTTTCATATGTATGTTGGCTTCATATAAGTCTTCTTTCGTAAAGTGTCTGTTCATATCCTTCGCCCACTTTTGAATGGGCTTGTTTTTTTCTTGTAAATCTGTTTTAGTTCTTTGTAGATCCTGGATATCAGCCCTTTGTCAGATGGGTAGATTGCAAAAATTTTTTCCCATTCTGTTGGTTGCTGATTCACTCTAATGATTGTTTCTTTTGCTGTGCAGAAGCTCTGGAGTTTAATTAGTCCCCATTTGTCTATTGTGGCTTTTGTTGCCAATACTTTTGGTGTTTTAGTCATGAAGTCCCTGCCTATGCCTATGTCCTGAATGGGTTTGCCTAGAATTTCTTCTAGGGTTTTTATGGTGTTAGCTCTTATGTTTAAGTCTTTAATCCATCTGGAGTTAATTTTAGTGTAAGGTGTCAGGAAGGGGTCCAGTTTCTGCTTTCTGTACACTGCTAGCCAGTTTTCCCAACACCATTTATTAAACAGGGAATCCTTTCCCCATTGCTTGTTTTTGTGACATGTGTCAAAGATCGGATGGTTGTAGATGTGTGGCATTGCCTCCAAGGCCTCTGTTCTGTTCTATATCTCTGTTTTGGTACTAGTACCATGCTGTTTTGATTACTGTAGCCTTGTAGTATAGTTTGAAGTCAGGTAGTGTGATACCTCCAGCTTTGTTCTTTTTGCTTAGAATTGACTTGACTATGTGGGCTCTCTTTTGGTTCCATATGAAGTTTAAGGTGGTTTTCTCCAGTTCTGTGAAGGAGGTCATTGGTAGCTTGATGGGGATAGCATTGAATCTATAAATTACTTTGGGCAGTATGACCATTTTCACAATATTGATTCTTCCTAACCATGAGCATGGAATGTTTCTCCATTTGTTTGTGTCCTCTCTCATTTGGTTGAGCAGTGGTTTATAGTTCTCCTTGAAGAGGTCCTTTATATCCTTTGTTAGTTGTATTCCTAGGTATTTTATTATCTTTGTAGTAATTGTGAATGGGAGTTCACTCATGACTTGGATCTCTGTCTGTTATTGGTGTATAGGAATGCCTGTGATTTCTGCACATTGATTTTGTATCCTGAGACTTTACTCAAGTTACTTATCATCTTAAGGAGATTTTGGGTTGAGATGATGGAGTCTTCTAAATATACAATCATGTCATCTGCAAATAAAAGACAATTTGACTTCCTCTTTTCCTAATTGAATACTCTTTATTTCTTTTTCTTGCCTGAATGCCCTGGCTAGAGCTTCGAATACTATGTTGAATAGGAGTGGTGAGAGAGGGCACCTTTGTCTAGTGCCAATTTTCAAAAGGAATGCTTCCAGTTTTTGCCCATTCA